GGTCCGGCGGCGGCGGAGGTGGTGGTGGAGGTTAGGTTTTGGGATTCGGGTTTGGGAGCCATTTTGTGGAGTTTGATGATAGAAGTGTTGAATCGTTTGATTTTGTCGAGGTTTTGAGAAGTTTTGTTTGTGTTGGAGGTTTAAGAGGTTTGTTGTCGGGGCTGGGGTTATCCTAGTACTGGTTAGGGACTGACCTAATCTGATCAATTTGATCTTGTTGGATCCATGACCAATAACAATGTGCTTGGTTGGATTGGGATTAGATTGAGCAATTGTACTCAAATATATTTAAAGGTGAATTTATTTTTATATAATAAGTTATTTTTTTAATTTGTTATTATATTAAAAACTTAACATATATTTAAGTGTAAATTTATTATTTCTTACAAAAAAAGATATTATTTAAGCTATTATTGTGCTATTAATTTTCATCTAAATCATATTTTAATATTTTTTTTTATATAACTAAGATAACACCTTCCTAGCACTTCTATATTTATCCAAAATATCCTCATTATTATTTTAGTAATTATAAACATAATTATTTATATTATTTAAAATTATCCTAATAATTTGTTATTTCTCTACTATCAAAGCCTTTTCATATATCTTTAACATTATTTATCAGGACTGTAAGTGCAATATGTTCTAGATAGATTTTCATAGCCCATTTAAATACCTTATCACCAATTGTTCTTTCCATTTTTTCCAAATAATTCCTTACTAATAATTGAAATAATTCATCTATATAATTGTTAATAGATTTATTTTTTTGTTTCAATGTGTTGAGCTATTGATAGAAGGTTCATGCATAACCAAAAAAAAAAGTATTAATTCATCTTTTTCTTTTATCTCTTTTCAATCATTAATTCTTGATTTTTCTTACATTTCTTGTATTCTTTATAACTATTCCAGTGGGCAGAAACCTTTACCCCTTTAATATGATCATAGTTAATTCAACTTATATGTTTTAAAATATTTTTATACTAAAAATATCATTTCAACATTGATCAATTAATCCGTGAACTTTTTCTTTTATAAAACTATTTTAAAATCAAAAATTTTAATTTAAAATAAAAAATCTTTATGATGTTCTACTCAATTGAAAAACTACCTCCTCTTAAACAGGTTCTTACTATTGGCTTGAGAGATTACCTCCTCTTGAACGAGTTTTTGGTACTGGCTAAGAACTTATAATCATTGATACATAACGTTTTTAAAAAAGATTATTTTTAAAAAATTCCTTTAGGATTTTTTTTTTAATTTTCAAGTTTGTCTAGACTTGTTTTTTGGTTTGTTTAAAAAGTTGTAAACTTTTTGAAAGGTAAACAACTTGAAAAGAAAAATTAAAGTTCCTATGTGATTCTTTCTTAAAAAAAGATTTGTGTTCTCGTTGCCTTTCTTATTTGGTTTTAGTCTGTATCAATTGGCATTAAACCTAAAAGATTTATGGTGGTTAAGATAAAAATAATGGTCATGAAATAATTAATGCTTGTGCAAAAAAGATGTTGTGTTTCAATCTCAATAAACAAATATTCAAAAATTGATAATAAAAGATATGTAAGAATAAATTACAAAATTAAGTTGTTAGTAGTGATAAAGGTATAAAGAGAAATTGAAGAATTATCTCATCAATTAATAAAATACATAAAAAAAGAGTAATTATATATTTATAACCAATTATGAGAGCCTATTTTAAAGGCACAAGGATAGTAACTTGTTGATGAAAATAAATATTATGAAGATTTTAATGATTTTATATATGATGATATAGATTAATATTTTATATTAATTTATGATGTTTATTTTAAAAATAACTATATTTATAATGATATTATATATATAATGACAAAAATGGAATTGATTATTTTATTGGAGGACTAATTTTTTCAACCCAAAAAGAATGATGGGGAAGGTTTTTAAGAAAAAATATTTTTATGTTTTTCTATTTAATTTAGTAAATTAAATAATATATTTAATATTTTTTTTATTTTTTTTAATATATATAGATTGATTCTAAAATTTATTTAAAAGGTAAAATTATAAATTAAATATTTCAATAATAAAAATTATAAATTAGAGTTTGTGTTTGATATGTTTTTCAGTGTGAATCACTCTCTTTGTTTTTTTTTTTCTGTTAATAATAAAATAAAATTTGTGTTTTGGCACTTGAATTGCTTGTTCAAGGGTGCTACTCTTTCATAGTTATCAAAAACTAGAAAATGGGCTCTTTAGTTTTTGAGGTCTTATTGAGTACTAGAAAATGGTAGCAATTTGGACTGAAAACACTGAGGAAATTGAGCTCTTTAGTGCTTTGTTCAAGAAAGAATCAAACGAAGAAAAAAGAAAGATGCTCTATAGTCATGAAGTTTTGAATTTTTTTGGTGAGGAAAGATGTGAGGAAGATACTCAAGAGGAAAGACAGTGATGCTGGTGAAAGAGGTAAGCTTTTTTTGAAGAATTTCTTGAGACCCCATTTCTTTATTTTGTTTAAATTTCTCAAAGTTTAGTTCTTTCTTTCATTTGCATTGCTGCGTATCACTAGGTTTATCAGTTTAGCTTGCGTCAGTGAGATTCTAGCTAGAATTCTCTAATATGTTCTTTGTTTGGATGTAAATTTTACTCTATTTTGTTGAATTTGCATTGCCGCGTGTCACCAGGTTGGTTTTTCTTGGATATTCTCTCCTGGGTTATAGCTCTTTAACTTTGATAAAGTAGTGGTTAATTTTGGTTTTTATTTAATTAATTTCAGAAAGATAAAGCAATTTTTTTTTGCCTTTGAATGAAGGGAGAGTTGGCTGCCCAGTTGCTCAAAAATGGGATTTTTCTCATTATATATGTGTCTTCCACTGGCAACTTTAAATATTAGTGATTTTTTTCTTTGTTATTGAGAGGGATTAATCAAACCATTATTCTACTCAAACATGCTAGTTAATTTGTTATCTTATTAACAAGAGGTGATTACTTTCCTCATTGGCTAGTGACTTTCTGTGTAAACCGTGAAGGCTTTTTTTCAATTACTTGTCTTCTTTGATGTGGCTGAGTGACCTGCATTTTCATTTGTGTACTTATCAATGCAGGAAGAGCTTTAGAAGAATTACGGTCTTCTTTATTTAGCAGATTTCACTTGTCTGAAAGCACGAAGCGACAACAATTATGTGGCCTTGTCATTGCTCTTACGTTCAATTTTCTAGTTGCTATTGGTATTATTTTCATGAACAAATAGGTTTGTCTTCTAACCTTTGTAAATGCATATTGTGTAGTTTTAACTGCTTTTGTTATTGCTTCAAGTTGCGGTTTCTTTGAGTTTACTTGATTTGCCTCTTTTTTTTTTTTTTATGGTAGGTGCTTCAAGGAGTTGGCTTCCATTTTCCTATATGTCTTAGTTTTATTCACTATGCACTAAGTTGGGCACTGATGGCTATTATAAAAGCTTTTTCTGTGCTCCCTGCATCTCCTCCATCAAAATCTTCTCATTTATCTCTATTCATTCTTGGCTTTGTTATGTCTCTCTCTACTGGCCTAGCTAATGTTAGCCTGAAATACAATAGGTTAGATATTCATTTCCTATTTTCCACAGCTTTGTTGTCCTGTTCAAAGTTTTGTGTTTGATATGTTTCATGTTTTGTTACAGTGTTGGATTCTATCAGATGGCTAAGATTTCTGTTACACCTTCGATTGTTTTAGTAGAATTTATATGGTTTAAAAAGAGAGTTTCTTTTTGCAAGGTAAGTTTTGGCTCATGTATGTCTATGGTGCACTTCCATATGAAAATAAGCTATTATGATGACAGAACAGTCTGAATTAGAAAGCATTGGTATTATTGAGGTCTTATTGAGTACTAGGAAGTGGTAGCAATTTGGACTGAAAACACTGAGGAAATTGAGCTCTTTAGTGCTTTGTTCAAGAAAGAATCAAACGAAGAAAAAAGAAAGATGCTCTATAGTCGTGAAGTTTTGAATTTTTTGGTGAGGAAAGATGTGAGGAAGATACTCAAGAGGAAAGACAGTGATGCTGGTGAAAGAGGTAAGCTTTTTTTGAAGAATTTCTTGAGACCCCATTTCTTTATTTTGTTTAAATTTCTCAAAGTTTAGTTCTTTCTTTCATTTGCATTGCTGCGTATCACTAGGTTTATCAGTTTAGCTTGCGTCAGTGAGATTCTAGCTAGAATTCTCTAATATGTTCTTTGTTTGGATGTAAATTTTACTCTATTTTGTTGCAATTGTTGCCTTTTGGAGTGCCAGGTTGGTTTTTCTTGGATATTCTCTTCTGGGTTATAGCTCTTTAACTTTGATAAAGTAGTGGTTAATTTTGGTTTTTATTTAATTAATTTCAGAAAGATAAAGCAATTTTTTTTTGCCTTTGAATGAAGGGAGAGTTGGCTGCCCAGTTGCTCAAAAATGGGATTTTTCTCATTACATATGTGCCTTCCACTAGCAACTTTAAATATTAGTGATTTTTTTCTTTGTTATTGAGAGGGATTAATCAAACCATTATTCTACTCAAACATGCTAGTTAGTTTGTTATCTTGTTAACAAGAGGTGATTGCTTTCCTCATTGGCTAGTGGCTTTCTGTATAAACCGTGGAGGCTTTTTTTCAATTGCTTGTCTTCTTTGATGTGGCTGATTGACCTGCATTTTCATTTATGTACTTATCAATGCAGGAAGAGCTTTAGAAGAATTGCGGTCTTTTTTGTTTAGCAGATTTCGCTCGTCTGAAAGCGCGAAGTGACACGAACAACAATTATGTGGCCCTGTCATTGCTCTTACGTTCAATTTTCTGGTTGCTATTGGTATTATTTTCATGAACAAATGGGTTTGTCTTCTAACCTTTGTAAATGCATATTATGTAGTTTTAACTGCTTTTGTTATTGCTCCAAGTAGCTATTTCTTTGAGTTTACTTGATTTGCCTCTTTTTTTTTTATGGCAGGTGCTTCAAGGAGTTGGCTTCCATTTTCCTATTTGTCTTAGTTTTATTCACTATGCACTAAGCTGGGCACTGATGGCTATTATAAAAGCTTTTTCTGTGCTCCCTGCATCTCCTCCATCAAAATCTTCTCATTTATCTCTATTCATTCTTGGCTTTGTTATGTCTCTCTCTACTGGCCTAGCTAATGTTAGCCTGAAATACAATAGGTTAGATATTCATTTCCTATTTTCCACAGCTTTGTTGTCCTGTTCAAAGTTTTGTGTTTGATATGTTTCATGTTTTGTTACAGTGTTGGATTCTATCAGATGGCTAAGATTTCTGTTACACCTTCGATTGTTTTAGCAGAATTTATATGGTTTAAAAAGATAATTTCTTTTTCCAAGGTAAGTTTTGGCTCATGTATGTCTATGGTGCGCTTCCATATGAAAATAAGCTTTCTATTTTGTTGTGATGACAGAACAGTCTGAATTAGAAGGCATTGGTATTTTTCATTTTCATTTTCAACTGTTTGATTCATGGGAGAAAGGCTATTCATGTAAGAACTAGGTGTTTTATAATTTTGATCTGCACACTAAGTGTCTGGTAAAGCATGAACATGGACTTCTACATGGATAGCATTTTGAGTTTCACTGTATTCAGGACAAGGGTTTATCAATGAACATTAATTTTGTATTTGTATCTTGGGCCTCGAAAGTGGACTCACTCATAAATGCTTTGGTCATATATCATTGTTACCTTTATGAGATTGAAATCTACTTTAATAGTTGATTTGAATGGAAGGGATTTCAAAGAGTGAATGCTGAAAGTTGTGTTTTCCTCTTGTAAATATCTTCTACTTAAGCCTTGTATTTTGAGACGTGGAACCTCAAACCACATATTTGGATATGAATTGATCTTTATACCCATTCCGTTACTTCTAAAATACCCATTGAAGGATTACACTTGCACCCTCTAGGAGGAAAAAAGACTTGAAGAGTTAATTACTAGTTTTGTTTATTTTTTGAAGTCACGCAACATCTTTTATTGAGTCAAATACAATAGTTTTCAGTGCATATAAATGTCTTTGTAAATTGATTCTGGAAGTTTCCTTGCACATGGCATTTTTATCAAGTGGGACCTGATGTGCGTGTAGAATGACTAATTTCTGCAAATAACTTAAGTTGACACTGGCCTTGGGTTCTTATATGAAATCTTCCAGGTGGTTGCACTTACAGTTGTGTCTATTGGTGTTGCCGTGGCTACAGTAACTGATTTGCAATTCAGTCTCTTTGGTGCTTGTGTAGCACTAGCTTGGATAATTCCTAGTGCAGTCAACAAGATTCTATGGTCTACTCTGCAACAGCAGGATAACTGGACAGCCTTGGCGTAAGTTACCTTATCTAAAAATTTTCCTTGTAACATTCCTTATTTTCATTTTTGTACCACCAAATAGCTTTCACATCTTACTTGACTTGTGAAATCGATGAGCAGGTTAATGTGGAAGACTACACCAATTATGCTGTTTTTCCTGGCTTCATTGATTCCTTTCTTAGACCCCCCAGGTGTCTTCTCCTATGACTGGAACTTCAGAAACACAGCACTTATTCTCATGTCTGCTCTTCTTGGCTTTTTGCTTCAGTGGTCTGGTGCTTTGGCACTTGGGTGAGTGAGTTATCTTCATTCTTTTTAACTATTACAGAACTTTGTTCATGGTTTCCAGTGATGTATTTTCAACCTCTCAATTGCTGCATGTCACCTGGTATTTCTAGCTATAGGATATGAGGAGGTTAGTCAATTTAGGACATCAAGATATAAAATGACTCTTAAGGAACAAAGATCATAATCATTCTATATCATTATTGAAATGTTCTAAAATCAAGTTGGTCCAGAGAAGGTTTCTCATTATAATATACAACTTCCTTTGTGTACAGTATTATAGAATCTGCACTGGTAAATTTACTATGGCAGAAAAGAATAAAAATAAAACAGTTTGTATAATTAGATATGAAAAATTATAATAATTGCACCCAGAACTACTAAATTAAAGAATAAGGATTTTTGTTATTTTAATTTGTCCAAAATGTTATCAGAATGCTTTGCTGATTGGTATAACATTATTTTCTAAGGTTTAGACATCAAATATTTCGATAACTGTACTTCAGCTGATGCATTTGACCTAAAAACATATGCTAAGTGCTTTTTATTAGATCGTGTTCTGTAATTTCTTGAGATGAAAGATAAAACAAGGAGTATCATGTTTTCGGTGGGTACATATAAGACCAAAAATGGGAAGGGGGAGGGGTTGGGATAGAGGAGAAAAAGTGTAGAAGATTCTAGTAGAAATCCTGGAAGTAGTGTCTCAAATTTTAGAAAACTTCATGTTGACCTGGTCCTTTTACATCACTTAAAGGATTGTGTCTCTGGCACTTTCACATGCCTAATGACTTTTTGGTTAGTCCTGACTCTTAATAGTAAATGCCTCAACATAACTCCCCTTGTTCTATGTCGCTACACGACATTGGGCGACGCCTCCATTCCTTTTTTTTGTTTGTTTTTTTTAAAACAAAAGGAATTTAATTTTTATTTGATTGAGGGAAATAAAGATTTTATTGGAGTCGCCATCTAGTAATTTGAGGGAACTAGAAATCCAAAATTGGACACTGGTCCCAAAGATTCGGGTACTGGGTTAGTTATGATTAAGGGAAGGTAGACACTACCTTTAAAACATCCTTTCAGAAAAAGGTGACCTTTACTTGTGTGTTTTTCTTATCTAATTCAAATGCTATTATATTTTGAGCTTATTTGTAAATTTTTTAACATGGTTAACGTCGGTCCCTAAAAATAGAAGACACGTTAAAAATGACATCAGTCCCTAAAATTAGGAGACTTTGTCTAAAATGTCGACGTTTATCCCTAAAAAGGAGAGTTACGTCTAATTTACCAAAATAAATAATAATAGACATAATCCATATTTGGTATTTAATTTGTTTTTGACATCGGTCCTTTTCTGTAAATAAAAGAGACGTGTCGACAAATAATATTTATTTTATAAAATAAAAATTATTTTGATATCATTCACAAATAGATATATCAATTCTTGAAAATTGGGCTTTTGACCCATGAACAGTGATATGATAAAAATGGGTGTTGAACCCGCGTTGTTATTTATTTTTGTTTATTTTTGTTTTTTTTCACATGCAAAAATTTACAAGTATTTATATATAAAAATATCATAAAATATCATAGAAAATTACTTGAGTACCCTTGTATATGTAAAAGACTGAAATACCCTCGGATTTATCGAAAATTTACAAAA